GCTTTAAATACTATTTATATGTAGTGACTCCCCAACATAATATCTCTAATTATAACTGTCACTTGCTTGTTTTAGCTGCCTCCACTTGGATGGCCAAAAGGTACTTCAAACATAACTTACCCAAACAAGACTTATTTTTTTCTCCTTCAATCTTTTGATCCCAAGTCTTTCCCATTTCAGAAAACAGCACTATTCACCATCTAGTTGCTCAAGCCAAAAAGCCTGAGTCATTCTTGATTCCTTTCTTAAGCACTGCAAAATCTTGCCCATCAAAAGTTTAGTTCCATCTACCTTGAAATATGTTTTAAATTCATTTGTTTTTCTTCATTTCTGCTACCATTTCACTAATTCAAGCCAATAGTAGCATCTCTTGTTTGGGCCTCTTTAGCTGCCTGTCCTGCTTCCAGTCTTCCTCCGTTACAATTTTTTTTTTTCTCTGTAGAAGAGCCAGTGTTCTTTTGTTTTGAGACAGGGTCTCCTTATGTAGGTCAGGCTGGCCTCACACTGGTGGTGATGCACTTGCCTCAAGCTTCTTGAGGGCTGAGATTATAGGCATGTACCACCATGCCTGGCTCAGAGTATTTTTTTTTAAATAAAAATGTCAAGCATATTAAATTACTATCTCACCTAAATCTCTAGTGGCTATTCTTTAACTTATATAAAATGTGCAGTTTTCCCTTATCTACCTCTCTAATCTTACATTCTTACTCTGTCTCTCTTCCTCTCTTCCTCCCACAACTCTCTCCCTCCATTTTCCTCTCCCTCTCTCATTCCCTCTCTCTGTCCCTTCTTATTAAGTTCTAGCCATATTTCCCATTTTTGTTCCACTGACACGCCCAATTTATTTCAGCTTCAAAGCCCCCATAGTTACCTTTTCTACTTGGAAGGCACATACCTTAAATTCTAGTTATTTTTACTAAGGTCACTGAGCAGATATCACGCGAAAAAGGCCTATCTTCATCTATAAATCTAAATTTACTCCTACCCCAGTGCAGTCATGCTCTGTATTTTGTTTAATTTTCATAGTAATACTTCTGAAGTCCTTATTTACTTGATATTTTCTTATTTATTCATAGCTACCATTTGCTCAAATGTCAGTTCTGTATGAGGAGAATTCTGCCTTATTTGTCATGTTTGGTGCTATCTTTACACTTCCTAGCATAGTTGCTCTCATATTTTACTCAGAAATATGTATTAACTGAATTAGTGAGTGTTTGCTTTTAGGTTGAATGTATACTCAGTGGAGACTGAAAATCTATCTTTTACCAAAAGTATACAAAATTACTTTTAACATTGGCTATTTTTCATTTTCTACTTTAAAGAGGTGAACTGTTGATTTCCATAATTTGTTCATTTTAATTTTGTTTTATTTTTGAAAGATAAAATATATTTTTAGCTATCATTCATAAGCATTTTTCTTTAACATGTTGTGATATAGATAGTCTTTATGCATCAAATGAAAACCAGATTAGCTTTATTTGTAGCTAGATATTCTCACTGCCCTTTAAAAAAATCGTATTCTGAAATACTGGAGACACATTTAAGTACTATAAACAAATTGTAATCATATGGATTACAGCTTGTGAAACTAATAGAAATCATCTTGAACTCAATAGAATTATTGTTCACTATTTTGTGCTTTTCCAATTAGTTTTTCTTACCTATTTTTGCCTCTAGCCAGTTATCCTTTATGCATATTTATGCAGTAATACTCAAGAATAAATGCAATTTAAAACTGTATAATGGTCAAAATTGTTATTGCTGAATTAACCTAAAAGATAAACTCACTGACTTTTATTAGTAATCACATCTAATTTCCACGAACTCCTGAGTGTTACAGTACCTTCTGAATATATATGTCAAAGACTCCCAAACTGCTATTTTAAATTAATTTTTAAAAGTCTATTTAGTATTTATTTTAAAGCCCAATTTATCAATTTTTTTATAAATAATGTTTTTGATGTGACAAAACCTCTGCCTGACTCAATATTCTCTTTTTCTTTTTAAAGAAGTTTTCTAGTATAGATGTATTCATTTAGTCCATGATTCATTCTGATGCATCTGACCATATTCATACAAAGTATGTAGTACATGTTAGGGTCCTTTTATTTATTTTGGCATATGTTTGTTCAGTTGTTCCAAATCATTTAGTAAAACAGCAAAATAGCAGTCAACTGACCATATATATGTGGGTATGTTTGAGTGCTCTATTCTTTCCATCAATCTATATGCTTATTCTTTCACCAATAAAGTACTGTCCTTTATTGTAAATTGATAGTGTGTGTCCTTCGACTTTGTTCTTCAAATTTGTTTTGATTACTATAGTTTCTTTGCTTTCCCATTAAATCTTTGAATCAGCTTGGAATCCTGCCCAGTTTTTCATTGAGATTATGTTTAATCTTATAAATCAGTCTGAGAAGAATTATAATATTGAACAGTATAATACACAAATATAGTGTATTGTTGTTTCTTTACAATCACCTTGATTTTTCCTTGGTGGTATAAATAAATCATGATCCCTACATTTTGATTTGTTGGTGCTGGGGATTGAACCCAGGGCCTTTTGCATGATGTACTCTATCTTTGAGGTACACTCCTAGCCCTCCCTAAGTAATGTTTGAGGTTTTAGAATTATTACTGCTTTGGGAGAGTTTGGAATCATTACTCTCTCTAAAATTTTCAGGTTTTCATTTATTGTGTAAAGAAATATAAATGATTTTGTACGTTGACCTTGCCTTTGTTGCTTTATTAAACTCACTAGTTCTAGGAGGTTTTTTTTTAAGATTCCTTGGGATTTTCTACATAGAAAATCATGTTATGTGTGAACAGATACAGTTTATTTTCTCATCTGTTTGCCTTTCATTTCTTCTTGCCCTGTTGCACTTAATGGGATCTCTAGAATGACATGGGATATGAGTGATGAGAGCAGATACTTTCCCTCATTTACAGCTGAGGGCAAGAAAAATTGATTCTTTCACCACTAATTGTGATCTTAGGTATAGGCTTTTATAGAGACACTTTTTATCAAGTTAAGACATTTCTTTCTTTACAGTTTAATTTTGTTTTTCTTATCATGAATTGATAGTTGAATCTTATCTACCATTTCTTGCATCTAGGGAGTTCATATTTTTAAAAGTCTTTTGATATGGTGAATTTAGGTGATTTTTTTTTTTTTTAATGTTGAGCCTGTCATACAGAAGGACTTCATGGAAATAAGCCATATTTGATTGTGACATATTATCCTTTATGTATAGCTATATTTGTACATTTATTATTATTATTATTATTATTTTTTGGTACTGGGGATTGAACTCAGGATCTTGCGCTTGCAAGACAGGTGTGGTACCACTGGACTAAATCCCCAGCCCTTGTACATTTATTTTTAAAATAGTAATTAAAACAAATATTGTTACTTACACCTACATAAAATGTGTTTAAAAATCAACCCATTGTCTTATTAATTCAGTCAACAAATACATGACAATTGGTATGGACTAAACATTATTCTGGTGCTGGAGATTAGAACATTGAACACAGTGGTTCTAAAGCTATATTCCTTCCTAGAATGCAATACAGTGCCAGGTAGTAATTATGCTATGAAGAATAACCAGGGTAAGGGAATGGAGGATAAATTAAATGAAGAGATAAAGCAATTTTAAATATATTGATTAGGGAAGGACTTGATGAGAGGTCCTTAGAGCAGAAACATAAGTGAAGTGAGGATGCTAGACATCTTATTTGTAGACACCTGTTCCAGGCAAAGAGAATAGAAAGCACAGTCACTGTGTCAGGAATTTGGTGTTTTTCAAGAACAGTAAAAAGGCCAGTGTTTCTGGAGTTTAGGAATCCATGGAGGGGGTTGTAGAAGAAATAACCAGGTTCCTGATAATATAGAATTTGTAGCCACACATGGTGGCAACTACTTATTTACTCGCCAGATATTTATTGTGCACATGCTATATGTCACATATATAGGATTTTAAAAAACAGTAATCAAAAAGCCTTCCCAGAGTTTATAAGTGTTAGTGATAAATGTGATTGTTCAATATAAAGGTAGCCAGCCGTGGCTAACATTGTTATACAGAATGATGGCATATCTAAATAATTAAAGTAAATAGAATAAGTCTACTCATTTTATTTTAAAATACATTAAAGAGAAATACCTATTTTTGTGAATCTCATTGGTTGCAACAGAGACTTACTTCATTTTTTTTTTTAAATAAGAATACACTTGGGAATGCAGTATAGGAGGACTTCAAGGAAATCCTAGAATAGAGGCTGTGATATAGCTAGACTTTCCAGAGATAGAGCCTAAAAGTCCTTATTCATACTCAAGTGTATTAGTTATCTATTGCTGTGTAACAGAATATTTTAAAATGCAGTGGCTTAAAACATTATTTTATAGTTTTCTTTGTGTTGAGAATCTAGGCATGCCTAGCTGGGTGTCTTTGCTGAAGGTCTTTCACAAGGCTACCATCAAGGAGTTGGTAGGAAGAGCAGTCATTTTAAACTTGATAAATTCTGCTTCTCAGATTACTCACTTGGCTGTTGGCAGCCCTCAGGTCCTTGCTGTTTTTTGGTTGGAGGTATTTCTTTGCCATGTGGATTTTTGCAGCTCACATGAAGCTAGCTTCCTTGAAAGAAGGTAACAAAATGGAAGCCACAATTTCTTTATAATTTAAATCTCAGAAATCACATCCATCATTTCTGCTGCATTCAGTCACCAGAACTAAGTCACTAAATCTGGTTCATACTGGAGAAGATGACACGGGGTGTTGAATGCCAAAGTGGGGATTATTAGGGTTGTTTTAGAAGATTCCTGTCATACCAGCTAAGTCTCAGAGATCTCATCAGTTTTTTTATATATATTCTACTTCTTTATCGTAAGTGGGCCTTAGCCATTTTCAATCTTCATTTCTTTCCCTATCAGTTATGTTTCTCAACTAAAAGTCTATGTTTTTCCCTACTTATTTTTAGTTTCCCCTTATCTTTATCTAGGGACCAAGATGAACTGTCATGCCTCATGTTATTTCACCTCCTGTCCTCTGCTGATAACTACTTTGATTATATCCAAAGTACTCTCTTCACAGTTTTTAGAGAGAGAAAAGGTAGGTGGGATGAGAGATAAGAATATTGTACTTTTTTAATGTTACCATACCATCAGCAAGAGTGGTGATTACGGCAGGGTCCCTCAGAAAACAATGTAAATACTATGATTTAAATACTAAATGTAAATACTATTGTGGATTTTGGCGATTACAAAGTAGATCATTGAGTTGATCAAATAACTCATTTCTTGAAAAAATTGCCTAATATTTTATAATAATTTTTCTATTTCCATAAAAGTAGATTGTAAAATGGAAACAAAATTTATTTTTGTTTTCCTAGTTTGTAAAATATTTAGGATAAATGGGAATCAATTATATATAGAATTATTGCTTATTTTTGAGATTTTATACAAAAGTACATAAATTTTTGGACAGAAATTATGGAGAGAACTATACAGAAATCTCTACATTGTTTGATGACATTATACAGTAAAGTATATATATGTATATGTACATATACATGACAAACATTATCACCTAGAATTAACTATTGACATTTATGCATTTTTTATTTATTCTTTTTCCCCTAAGGAAAAAAATCGTAGTTAAAATATGAATCCTCTTAAACCATCATTCTGGGTTGTGTTTCAAGGAACTTGATGCAACTGCTGTTACAAGTTTGGTGGGTATTTCTCTGGCTCACTTTTTATTCTTGTAAACATACATCTACATACATAGATATGATATGGTTTTATGTTTGCATATTTATATGATACTATATACTACTATACTTTTTTTTCTTTTTAACTTAATTGCTTTTCCGGTTTTTTTCCTAAATTATTTAACTTTCAGCACATTATTCCATCATATTTTATTATCCATTCTCTTATTAGTCAGCTAGGATATTTTGAAAGGGTGTTTTACTGTTATAAACTTCACTGTCTTTTGTACCTTTGACAAACATTTTCTATTTAATGGACAAATTACTGAGCAATTTATGGTCTCAGTGTAAGAAATCTTGTTTACCCTCATCCTCATGATAAATGATGTTTTTAGACTTGAAAGATTTTTGTCAATTTGCAGTTGGAAAACTAGACTCTTGCCTTATTAACCCACTTTTCTTGCTGGTGTGATTGAGTAACCTGTCTTTTGACCATTTGGATGTCATCATCTGTGAAGTGCCTTATGGCTCTATCCTTTACCCATTTGTAGGAGTTCTTTATATATCCTGGATCTTAATATTTGTCTGCTATATATGTTGTAGATAGATATCTTTTCCTAGTCTATTACTTGTGTTTAATCCTTTGTGGTGTTTTTTAACACAGAAGTTTTGGGGCCCTTTTTCCTGTCTTGGTCATTGCTAAGATTTTGCAAAAATAAGAATGAAGGAAGAATTAAAGCTAGTATATGAAGACATACAGTATAAGAGTGGCTATTTAAATAACTATCAACTATCATATATTTGAACAAAAATTATGGAATATCATAGTTCCAAGTTATTTAGATATCTTCAAAAACTTATAATTGTTAATGATGTAAAACTTACTTAACAATTCAAGCTTTATAATTTTTAATGGTAGTGGGTTACCCTTTCAGTGAATCAGAATGTAAGGCTTCATACTTTTTCTTTTGATAAAATATAATGAAATTTATTTACTTTTAGGATTAATGTGTACTTGGCATCAGGCAGTCTCCAGTATTTTTCAGATGGAAGTAATGACTTCCACAGTGATAATTGTTGAAATCCATTGAAAAGGAAAAAACGTATTGCAGATAAATTTTCAGGAAAAAATTATATATTTTGAGATAGGCGAGGTCTATCATATATTTTTAACAGCTATGAACTTATGTTTTTGTTTATAGATCAGTTTATTTAGGTCTCCTTATGAAAAATACTTACTATATTTTAGTTCTTATCCTTAATACTTTACAAATTTTAAAATTAAATTCAGAAATGGAAGTTTAATATTATATTTCACAAAGATAAACAATTCTTTTCACTGAAATTATGAGATTGAATCTCATTTTCAAGTATAATTACAAGATTCCAAGTGGAATAATTTCTTTTGATCTAAGAATTATCAAAAAATGGGATTCTGAAATAATAAAAATATAATTCCATCCGCTGTTATTTGTTAAGCATTGTGATAGAGTTAAGCTTTTTTTTTTTTTTTTTAGAGTGATGCAGGTCGAACTCAAGGCCTCATGCATGCTGTAGGAGTTCTCTACCACTAGGCTATACTTCTAGCCAGTAGTGTGCATCTTGAGTTTTAGATATTAAACCCACAGTCAGAGGGAAGAATAATAGCTTAGTCTTTGAGTAGATAAAGTTGTAAGGTGGGAGATAAAGGAAGAGTTTGGTTCCATTTATATTTTAATTAGAATCATCAAGATATTTGTTACTCTTGGAAAAAGTATAAGCATAAAACTTTTTCGAGACATTTGATTGTTAATTTTTATATTATTTTAGGTTTGCAGTAATTATCTGCAGGAATCGCCATGACCCCAGCTCTGAGGGAAGCAGCAGCAAAGGGTATCTGCTTTTCATCTTTGCCAAGTACCATGGAGTCTGACAAGATCCTATGCATGGAAAGTGCGAGAACAATAGATGAAAATCTAAAGGGAGACCCTTTCTCTCAGTTGCTGGGATTTCCGACTCCTGAACCTACTCTTAACACTAATTTTGTAAATTTAAAACATTTTGGCTCCCCTCAGCCTTCAAAACATTATCAGACAGTTCTTTTAATGAGTTCTAATTCTACTTTAAATAAATACAATGAGAATTACAAACAAAAGAAATCAGGGGAGCCCAAGTGCAATAAGCTGAAAAACATACTGCGTAATGGCAGCAACATTCAGCTCAATAAAATGTGCCATTCTCATTCTGAAGAGTTTGTTAAAAAGGAGCCTCTATCAGATACAAGCCAGCTCATGAAAGATACACAAATCATTTTGGATTCAAATCTAACCAAAGATACTAATGTAGATAAAGCACAACTGCAAAACTGTAAACAGTTCCAAAAGAATGCACTTTTGGATAAAGTTACTGATGCTGACATTAAAAAGGGTTTATTGTACTGTGCTCAAAAGAAAATTGGACCTGGCCTCTCAAATGTGCGTAATAGTTCCTCAGCTGCTGAGAAAGAGGAGGAAGTGAATGCTCGTTTACTTCATTGTGTAAGCAAACAGAAAATTTTACTTAGCCAGGCTAGAAGAATGCAGAAACATTTGCAGATGCTCCTGGCAAAGCATGTTGTTAAGCACTATGGTCAGCAAATGAAATTTTCTATGAAACATCAGCTGCCCAAAATGAAGAGTTTTCATGAACCTGGCACAATTTTGGATAACAGTTTACCTAAGTGCACTGGAATTAAGCCAGAAGTCAACATATTGACTGCAGAGAATAAATTGTGGGATGATGCACAAAATGGCTTTACTCGGTGTATGGCTGCAGAAATCCAGAGAGTTGCACTATCTGCTACAGGGCTGTTGTCTCATATTGAAGAGGGTCTGGATTCTGATGCAACTGATAGCAGCTCTGATGACGAGTTGGATGAATATACCATTAGAAAAAATGTGTCAGTGTAAGTGCAAAATTATTATTAGACCTTTTCCTATTCTATATAGCAGCAGTTGGTTTCAAGATATGCTAGAAGGAAATAGATTTTCTAAAATCTTAATATCATGATCTTTTAAGTTATAAAACTTCAGTGAGTTTTTAAAATGTTTCCTTTGTTAAGCTATTGTATGTCAGATCGACAGAGGATTGGTTTCAGGACCTTCTGCAGATGGATATGCAAGTCCCTTACGTAAAATGGTGTAATATTAGCACATACGTATATCCTCTTGTGTACTTTAAATCATCTCTAGGTTACCTATATCACCCAACACAACGTAAAATCCATGTAAATACTTGTTTTGCAGTAACATTTCGAGAATAATGACAAGGAAAAACTCTATACAAAAGACTATACAATATTTTTCCTGAATATTCCTGGTATGTGGCTGGTGGAATCTGCACATGTAGAATCTGTTGATATGGAGGGCTGACTATTGAAAAATAATTCAACTGTTCTGTTTAGGGAAAACTCATGCAGGAATAACAATACTAATTAGCTATAAGTAAGCTTGTTTTCTGTTTTTTGAATATCATAAATGAAAGATCGCATTTTTTATAGTGAGAAGTGAAATGGAATAGCACACTGGACAGTCTAGTCTCTTTGTGTTCTAATTTCACTGTAATTAAAATTTGCTTGAATGTGGGAGCTATAATAGTTATTGAGCACAGATAATTTTTCTGGCTGGCATTATGCTGGATACTTATACATGATATTTCATTTAATTCTTTCGACAACTTTGGGATCTTACTGGATTACCCTTATTTCACTTAAGAAACAGAGTTGGTATGTTTAGGTAATTTGCCTATGACTAAAAAGCCAAATAAGTTGGGCGAGCCAGGCTTTTGCCCACATGCATATGACTCGAAGCCCATGCTTGTTTTCATGTACAATGATAACTTTCTCAACTATAAGAGTCAGTGACTGATTCTTATAGTTATCAGAATGGTGAGGCACATATTTTCTGAAATAAGCTCAGAAATATATGGTTTTACATGTAAAATACTCCTAAAAAAATTCAATTTAATACAATTTAGTAGGTTAATTTAACAAATTAAATATTTACTTTTTTATTGAGAGGAGCCAAAGGCAAGTTTATCTCTTTTAAGCTAGAAAGAGAAATAGGAAACCTAAAACTTTCGGTCCGTGATGCTGATTTTATTAGTATTTGCTTTCATTGTTCCCTTGTGTTCCCTAGACTGCCGTACATTTTATCATTAAATATCTTATTCCATATGGGTTGCTAATATATCTATTAATCTTACATAACCTAAACTCTACTAAGGGTAGAAACTACTTTCAGTACTTTCTGTTAATTTCTTATATCCCATGCATATAATTATTGATTGATCAAAATTTATTCTTTCTACTGAAAGAACACTAACTTCACACATTTGTATAAAACATACATAAATGTGGAGATCCAAACTATTGAAAAGTATTTTATGTAAAACATCAAATAATATACTTTTCATTTATTTTCTTGTTAGCTCTGTAAGTTTATTGAGGAAAACTGAAGTAACTTGGGGAAAAACTGTGTCCTGGTTTAGAAAGTTTTCTATACTATCTTGTCTCTTACCTCGAGGAGCTTTGTGAATTGTAGACATATATTTTAGGAAAAAATGAGTCTTAAGCAGTTTGATGTCAGTTTCCAGCGTTTTGAATTGTTGACCTTTTAGAATTACAATGACTTGGTTATTAAAGCCTGTATCTGTATTTCTAGAAGTCAGACTATGTTCTAGGGTCAAACTCATCTGATCTACACATATATAATATATTTTCTATAATCGATAATGCTAAATTTATATAACTCATAGAATTCCCCAAGTCACTGAATTATTTGATAATTGTTTGGGTTTTTATTACTTGTTTTGGCTACTTGAAATCCATGTATTAGATATTAAATTTTATTTGTTTTGAATATTTTTGCTGACATTAACAGATTTCATGAGAGTAAGATTCTTCAACATTTGATTAATTTTGAAGTTTACTGACCTTTGATAACAAATAACACAAATGTAAATTCTCTATCTTTTGGTATGTGTATAAAAATTATTTTTCTTAAGTTGGACTTAGTTCAATTTCAGGTGTTAAATTCATTTAAAAATGTATAATATCCTAAGTTTATTTTCTTTCTTTTAAAGTTCATTTTTGGTGCTTTCTTCTCTATATTTGTGGAAACTACATTTTCAAATGTAGTTAAATATTTTAACCTATACATTTCTGAATTAAACATAAAATAGTGGATAGAAATGTATTTTGTGGACCTAAATTTTTAAGTGAATGCTAACACAATTAAATTTTCATTTTCCTGACTGTGAAGACTTCTCAGTTTAAAATCATGAATCCCATAGTGGCAAATACTAAAGCTGACTTCAACTTAAAGTATTTCAAGAGCAAGTGCTTCTTTTTCCATTGTCATAGATCTACTGCCTAGTATTGTCTTCTGTTTGGTTGTTGTTTGGAATTTGTTGAGTGAATGGATGAATATCTCTATATATGTATATATGGTTGTATACATATAAAAAGTTGGGCTTAGCAGTCTCTATATACAGTCCTTATATACAATTGACCCTCTTTATCCGTGGGCTCTGTATTCATAGATTGAACCAACCATGGATAAAAAAATACTTGAATAAAAATTGCATCTATGTTGAATATGTACAGATTTTTTTCTTGACTTTATTTCTCAAACAGTATAGTGTAATGACCATATTTACATTATACTAGATATCATAAAGAATCAAGAAATGATTTAAAGTATATAGGAGGATGTGTATATAGGTTACATGCAAATACTGTGCCATTTTATATAAGGGACTTGAATATCTGGATTTTGCTCTCTCTAGAGGTCTTGAACCAATGCTCCATGGTTACCAAGGGATGACTGCATACATTTTTTAATTCTTTCATTCTGGAGTTGCTACTTGATGTCATTTTCCCTCCTTCCTTTGGTTTTGATACTAAACTGGCTGCTAGATGTTTATGTACATCTTAGATACTGCATGAAAGGATGTTTAAGGAATGAATGAAGTATGCCACAATATTAACATTAAAAGTAATGATTTTATTATAATATTTGCAATTTTAAAAAAAATCATTAAATAAAATGTGTTATATTTGCCTTAAAAATCTTAGATTATATTATTATATGTCTTCTATTTTTCTTGAGTTTATGATCTGATAGGAAACATGAATTCCTTTACTATGGTCAGGTAATTAAACTTACATTAGCCATTACCATTATATTGTTGTTTTAAATATATATTTGAGTTGCCCCTTGTTCCTTCCCTCCAAAAATATAGGCAATAGATAAATTCTTATGATTGTTATTGATGCAATTTAAAAGTTTTGGTGGAATGAGTAGTGTGCAGTTAAAGTTAAGAAAATTTATTTCTTTCAGGATTTTAGGAAGGTTTCATGTTTTTTGTAGGTTTGAGATACAAGTTTCTTATTTTCTTTGTAGGTTTGTAATATGAATGGAAATTTTTTTTCTCAATGTTTCATTCTCAATACAAGTGAAAGAGCTCAGGTTCTGGAAATAATTGGCGTTACAATCCTGGCTTGCTCTGTGATCCTAAGCAAGATTGTGCTTAATCTTTCTAAATCTGATTCCTTTTCTTTGATTTACTTTAAAGAGTCTAGAGATAATTAGATGGAATATTAACTGTAAAGTGCCAGTACATACTAAGGCATCAATAAGGCAGCCAATGAAGTGTGCATTATCAAACAATTCACTACTGTGGAGAACTGAGGCTTAATACTACTGGGAGAAACTTGGAGTGATAATGGAAAACACATACTTCAGTGGTAACCCATGTGAGAGCTTAGGAATAGGGGTAGTTTTAGACCAGGCCCCATCAGTTTTTTATTTCAGGCAACTCTTGGTAGTATTAGTTCTCTGGCACTTCTATCCTACCACTTGGGTAGCAAAACAGGATCAGGCAACAACAAAAAGAAGCCGTCTGACAAGAAATGTGGATGTTGGCAGTTGGGAAGTCAGGTGTATTGAACTGGTTAAATGTAAGGGGATGTGTAGGTGGCTTACCGACAAGAGTCAGCTACTATTACGTTATTTTCACCTGGTAGTAAGGCCTCAGAATTATATCATTTCTTTTATTTACTTTTCCTTTTGGAAATAACAGTCGCTTACTTTCTTCCAGAATATATAGTGAGGAAACTGACATATTTTGACACAGACGTATTTTGATCTTCTAAAGTTGTAGAAAAGGAACAAATGTGATGCCTTATCTTATTTCAGAAAGTCTGCTCTACCAGATCACATAACTGCCTCAAAGGCTGAGGGAAAATACCTCATAATTTCCCCAAATTGGTCTCCATATATATTCAATTTTTTTTGAATTTCATTTAGATACGTAAATCAGCACGCTTGAAAAGGAAATTCTTCTTACCAGATGTAGGCATTCACCAAAAAAAGAAAAAAATCCAGGTAGATCTGTTGGGTCAATCTTCTCAGACTGAAAAACAGAAAAGAAAAAAGTAACTTCTTAAAGGCCCCCAGAAATGAATAATCACAGATTTATTGCTGCTGTTTTGCCAATGGAAAGGAAAATAAAATAAAACTAAAAAGCCAAGTGATCCAATATTTCTTTTTGATGAGCTGGATAACTAGGAATAAGAACTCAATGTGAGATTCAAATGGTAAAGAGACTGCTAACGTTCCATTAATAAATGGCAAACATGAGTACCTCTACATTTGTATAATGTAGAGTTTACAAATTCTTTTCACATTTGTCTCGTATTCTCTAATGAAATAGGTAAGTTTGATTTTAAGGAAAACAAGGAGTTAAATGAAAAACAGTTCCAGAGAATTTGCAGTGTTACTTGAAAACCCTTTTCCATTTTGTAAGAGGATAAGCAGAAGCCCAATCAAGGACAGAACTTCAGAATTATAATTGTGAGGTGGGTTAGCCTTAAAAAATTATATATATACTGTGTGAACACCT